TCTGTCTGTCTGTCTGTCTGTCTGTCTGTCTGTCTCTCTCTGTCTGTCTGTCTGTCTGTCTGTCTGTCTGTCTGTCTGTCTGTCTGTCTGTCTGTTTGTGTCTGTTTCTCTCTCTCTCTCACTCTCTCTTTGTGTGTGTCTGTCTGTCTGTGTGTGTTCATGTGGGAGTGTTTGTTTGTGCACATGGCATTGTGATTTTCATTGATTGGAATTTGAGTTGCTTCCCTTGATAATGAATCTGCACAGAAGCGGGGAATGGTTGGCAGAACAAGAGCTCTGACACAGAGTGTGCCTGCACATAGATTAGCGGATCTATTGGTTGCGACTTTGGATGGTTCTTTCGAAGGACGGCTGGCAATGTTGGATGCTGTTGATTTAAAGCAACGCTTGACGAGGGCAACTGATTTGGTTGCAGGCCATTTGCAGGTGTGTGCCATCATTTTTTTTTTAAATGGCGGGGGGGTGAAGCCCCTAACCTTATTTGTGTCCAACGAGGTCTGAACTTTTGATCGCTTTATCAACAGTTGTGTGCTTGTGGTAGCAGTGTGCCATTCACCCACCAGGCAGTACACGATGTGTATCATCAGAGAGTGAAATCACGCCCTATTAAAATCAATTTAAATTAGTAAATAGTAAATAGTAATTTCTTAACCCGTTTGGTTTGAAAGGATTCACGCTGCAGACACCCCAGTCCTGGTCCTAGAGTCCTGAAGTGTCCCAGTCCCAGGCTGTCCCAGTAGGATAGGCCGTAGGGTCTGTAGTCCAAAGCGTCGAGGTTGGAAGGTGTCGGTATCGAAGAGTCCTAGGTCGGTAGAAGTCCGTCCGGTACCTGAGAAGAAAAGTCCAGAAGAGTCCAGTCCAGGCTGACAGTCCCAAGTCCAATTTGCAGCATGTCCCAGGAAAGTCCGGAAGGTACCGGACGGACACAATGTTTGCAGCAGACAGGCCGCGACCGATCGGTACCCGTCTGAAGCAGGCCAAGCCAAGCCAAGCGAAGTCAGGCCAAGTCCCATATTTAGCTGCTAAAGTGCAGCGGCTCATCACTTGTTCAGTTGTGAGATGCGGAAGCGCTGCTGCTGCTTCTGCGTTAAGGCAACTTGGGAACTGTGCGCCTGAAGAAGAAGAGGGTGCTTATAAGATACTCGCAGGAGGTGCGCTGCCATAGCCGCCAAGGTGGAGCTTACCTGAGTGGGTGCATCCAGGGTAACGATCTAGAGGGGGGAGAGAGAGAGAGAGAGAGAGAGAGAGAGAGAGAGAGAGAGAGAGAGAGAGAGAGAGAGAGAGA